AATCCGACATTATAAACCTGTATATATCTTCAAATTGCGGCAATCGCTTCATTTATTACCGTTGTTACGTTTGAGTTTTGCTCGACTTCTCTCTTTCGTACATATCAATCAAACAAAAAGTATACACACACACACACCAGTCGCTTGTGTGTATTTTGTTACGCAGCAATTTTTGAGACGTCACGACGTCACGCGAGTAAACGCGACGGACGCGCTTGGAAAAACGTGGAAAAAAAGAAGAGAAGCGATTGCGAAGCAATTAAATGGAGCAATTAAGGATAACGAGAGTAGGAGAGGAGAGAGAGGGGAAGGGGGAGAATAAATATGCGTAAGAGACGCGACAACTGTTTCCCGATGCTGCCAAAAATCTTGTATCATCGCTCAACTGACTCATCGGCAACATAGGAAAGTACTTGACGCTCGTCGGTAGTAGTCATCCCGGGTATTTGGGGATGCTGGATGGCTCAGGTGGTTGCGTGGCGGCTTGAAATAGCGCCGTTCGCCCGCGCAAAATCGCGTCGATTAGGGCTACGAATAGTGCGCGCCCACCACCTCGTCAAGAGCCGTTGGTAATTTTAGAAACATTTTGTTGTGCCAGATCGACGGCGTCGGCGTGCGTCACTGTCTCTTCTTCTACTGCTCTTTCGTGTGATGTACTATACGCGCGCGCGCGCGCTCCGATCTCGCGCGAAGTCGATCGGAGCGCGCGCGTTACACGTCGATAGCGCGCTTACCCCTCTTTGACCGAGAGCAAAAAAAAAAAAATCTCTCACGCAAGTGTTTTCGAAAAGATTTCCCGGAAAATCGATGATAAAACAAATTTTAACGTTTCAATTCGCGCGATTGCAAAATCGCGATATGATAACGACGGGATATTTGATATATATCCCTCGTGTGTGAAAAATGTGTGCTAAAAATAATCTCTGCGTTGATAAAAAAAAGATTTTAAATTAAATTTTTACACACACTCTCTGGTTGTAATCTATTTCACTTGGTCGTAGCGTCGTAGCGCGCGCGCACATCCGCGAGCTTTTCTTTAATCATACGATACTCTATTCATAGTATAAACTGTCTAATACTGTGCTATATACTATAAAGAGGTATTATAGAATGAGAGAGAGAGAGATAGATAGATAGAGAGAGAGAGAGAGTAGAGAGAAAGAGAAACAGAGGGAACAAAACACCGGGAGCAAAACGGAGAGGGACGAAAGAGCCGAGGGAAGGGAGAAGGGGAAACGGGCGCGTGGCAGCGCGTGGTGCCAAATAGGGCATCAGGTGGTTGCGAGACGCCCGCGAGAAAAAGATCGTACGCGCGTGCGCGCATATACGTGACCGCTAACCAGGCGCACGCACGCGTCCGCACAAATGGCACGCGTCTCCTTACCCTTCTCGGGAGAGAGAGAGAGAGAGAGATCGCTGCGGTCTGCGCCTTCGTATACACGGTAGACACGCGCGGCGCTTACAGATGTTAGAAACCCCACCGGTTGTCGTTGTTGTCGGGGATAAAATTACTTTCTCCGAGTGCGACCGATGCCGATGGATTTGTCGCTTATGTATCGCGGATGACTGCGCGGCGCGCGCGCGCGCTATTTATATATATAGATATATATATACAGGGTGTCTCATAACGAACGAATCAGCCGAAGTGTGTAGGTAGATCGGGTCAATCCGAACAGAAAAGTTATTTACCATTTTGCAAAATGTGCAATAGTTATTAAAATATGAATTAATAAATGTGAGCCA